GGCCAGGCAAGGCGGGGTGGGGCGAGCGGCCGCTGCGGGGATTCGGGTGCGGCGGGAGGGGTGGCGATGCGGGCACCCGGTGGAGCCTTTTACGTGGGTTCCAGACGTTGCCGAGGGAACCGCGTGTTTACGCACGAGCGCGGGGCGGGACGCCAGCGGAGTAGCTCTGCCGAGTGGGCCCACGACAGTCTCTCCTCTCGGTTACCAACTGCCCAACTGGAGCGGAGGTCTGGGCTGGCTTCAGAGTGCCAGACCACCCCCCTGGGGGCCTATACTCCGCTAGCTTAAAGGCCGACTGGCTCGCACACGAATGAGCAATCACCAAAGGTTCACTCTCCTCTCTTATCGGGTACATATGTCCTACAGGAAGGCCTTTGTGGGGCTGCTTTCCTTCCTGGGAGTGTTTTTGTCGTAAGCAGGTATAAAAGGAATCTAGAACTTGATGCGAAAAATAATCCACATCCAGAGAGTTTACACTAGACGGGTAGAATAATTTAAGCCAGTCATTCTCAAACTTGAGTGTGCAACAGAATCACCGGGAAGTCCCGTGAAAACACAAGTGCCTGGGCCTCAACCCCGGAGTTTCAGATGGTGGGTCTGGGATAGTGCCCAAGAATTTGCATTTCTGACAAGTGAAGCCCTGAGGATGACTTTGCTGGTCTGAGGACCACACTTGAGAACCTGTTAAGATGCAGATTTCCTGGCCAGTTCCCATAATTACTGAGGATGGGCCCATGAATCCGTACCCCATAGGTGATTCTGTTGCAGTGCCCTAAGAAGGTGACTCTTAGAGGCAAGATGCCACCTGTTTCCAAGGGCCTGAACCTCAGGACCAGGAGTGCTAATAAATGGGGTGGAGGAAGAGGACTTTGGTCCCTTGCCCTACTGGCAGCCTTTTTCTGTTCTCTGAAATGTGTCTAAGGTGCTGTCAGCCCAGAGGTCATCCCGATGCAGCGCCAGGTATCTGTCTGGAAGATACAGGAATGGGAAAGGCATGGCTGCCTAGGGAAGCTGCGTCTGAGTTTCTGCGCATGACTTCAAACAGGAAAAAGTGTGATAAACCCTCAGGTTAACTCTGAGCTCCTCTCTAAAACAACAGTTCACAGAGTGTGGGCGCAGGCCTAGCAACATCACTGTCACCTAGAAACTTTTAGAAATGTGCCATCGGGGCCAGTGAACGGCACAGCTGTTAAAGCACTGGACCCCACATGGCAATCCTAATCACATCAGGCACTTGAGCATGGGGCCCCAAGATCCAAGAGGATGAGAATGGCGAGAAGTGATTGTAACATGGCCATCCCCCCTAGTGGGGGACTTCTCACTTTCTCTCTCACTGTCTCTGACTCTCCCTCTGGTGAGTGTATGCACTCTAAAGCAAAAACATCTTTAAAAAAGAAAGAAAGGAAGGAAGAAAGAAAGGAAAAGAAAGGAAGGAAGGAAGGAAGGAAAAGAGAGGAAAGAGAAAGAAAGAAAAGAAAGAAAGAAAGAAAGAAAGAAAAGAAAAGAAAGAAAGAGAAAGAAAGAAAGAAAGAAAGAAAGAAAGAAAGAAAGAAAGAAAGAAAGAAAGAAAGAAAGAAAAGAGAAAGAAAGAAGAAAGAAATGCAGCCTCTCCAGCCCCTGTCCAGGTCTACTGAACCCAAAACTATAGTGGGACCCAACCGTGTGTGTGTGTGTGTGTGTTAAGAATTATTTATTTTAGGGACCGGCAGTTAGCATAATGGCTATATAATGGCTATGTCGCTGAACTCCCATGTAGTCGACCATGGTTCGAGTCCCGGACCTGGTGGCTTAAACTCACGCTGGGCGCATGTGCATGCGTGCCCAAGATCCCAGAGGAGGATGGAGGAGAAGGGATTGTGGTGTGGCCATCCCCCCTGGGGGGTGATTTCTTGCTTTCTGTCTCTCTGTCTCTCTCTGTTTTTCTGGCGAGCGCACGTGCCCTATAGCAAAAACCTCTCAAAAAAAAAAAAGAATTGTTTATTTTTGTTTATTTTATTTGTTATTATTATTTGACCAGAGAGAGAGAAAGGGAAAGTGAGAAGGCAAGCCGCCAGGTCCTGGACTTGAACCGTGGTCAACCATGTGGGAGTCCAGCACCTCAACCACTGAGCCATTTGCCAATTCCCCTACCATGTGTATTTTAACAAGCCCTCCAGGTGACCGAGGTGCACAGCACAATTTGAGAAACACTGCTGTGAAAATGACTAGTACACTTGGTAGTCTTAGACTCAATGATATTAGAGCTTCAAGTGCGCACTTCATTGAGAATACTGTTCCACTGGAAATGCACAGCAGACATAAAAAACATTTAAGGGGGTGAACTAAGACTGGGTTTCTCAGCCTCAGCATTGTTGACATTTGGGCCAGATAACTCTTCATAGTGGGGGCTGTCCTTTGCATTGTGGGATGTTTGGCAGCATCCCTAACCTCTACCCGTAAAATGCCAGCAGCACTTCTCCCACTTGTGACAACTGAAAATGTCTCCAGGGGCCAGATGGTGGCACAGAGATAGAACACAATGCTCTATGAGGCAATCCCACATGAAAAGGTTCCCCAAGGGAGTCTGTGACCTCCCTTAGTACACTGGGCACACTTGACCATGAGCCAGGGCTGGCTGAAGGCTGGGGTCATCATGGCATGAAAACTCGGCCTCTTATAAATGATATAATAATAATAATAATCACTTAAAAATATCTCCAGACATCAACAGATGTCTCTTTGGGGGCAAAACCAACCCAGGCCAAGAATCGTTCTACGCAAAAATATAATTGTTACAGATTAATTTATTAAGTGAACACGATCTTCTAAGATCATGCTTAGATTTAGGAAACAATTTATAAGCCCAAAAAGAGGTTCTTAAGCAAAGACAACGTATTATAGTGCGATAAGTGTTTAAATATATATGAATGGGCCTAGCAGTCCATTTTCCTCCTTTACTACTTGGGCAGCTGGAAGCCTCAGGGGAGGTCCAAGTTCATTTCTGAGCCAAACTGAACATTCCAGGTGTGTTCGTGTGGACTGTAAAGCTAGTTGACTGGGAGGCTGGGGCCGGAGGATCACTATGGTGAGACCCTGTCAAGAATACCTCTCTCTCGCTCATGAAGGAAAAAAAAACAATATGAATTCTATGGAGGTCACTAGCACTTTCTAGAGAAGCTGATGAAGACTTCATACAAAGGTGACACTGGACTCTCAAAAAAAAAATGGGGGGGTGGGGGAGACAGGGCAAAGACATCTGATGTATATGCAAAGTCTGAAAGGTAGTGTTGCAGTGCGCGTGTCTGGTTAGGATACATGGGGGTGGGGTGTATGACGAAACAAATGATCAGAGTTTATCAGGACACTCTTACGAAAGGCCCTGCACACTATGAGATCGCACTTCGTCAGGGGAGAAGAGGGTCACAGCATTATCCACTGAAGGAGTTTTAGCAAGGAAGAGTCACAATCAGGCGTGTAGTTTAGAGAGACCTTATACTCTTGGTTTTCTGTTCTCACAATGTCCTCTCCTCTGCCATTTATTCCTTTTTTTTTTTTTTTTGAGAGGTTTTTGCTATAGGGCACGTGCGCTCACCAGACAGACAGAGACAGAGAGATAGAAAGCGAGAAATCACCTCCCAGGGGGGATGGCCATGCCGCAATCCCTTTTCCTCCATTCTCCCCTCGGGATCTTGGGCACACACGCACATGCGCCCGGCGTGAGTTTAAGCCACTGGGTCCGAGACTCAAACCACGGTTGACTACGTGGGAGTCCAGCGACAGACATAGCCATTACACTAACTGCTGGTCCCATCTGCCATTTATTCTCATCCACCTGCCTTTACCTGCTCGGGGCCCATCACGGCCCAGTCTTCAGCTCCTCTGGACTTCCTCATCTTCAAATCCTCCAAGTTACATTTCTGGTCCCAACCCACATGTCCTATGACTTGGCATTTCCCCTTGATGTGTAAAAACTCAGCATGGCCAAAACGGAATTCATATTCCTTTTCTCGCTTGCCCTAAAACCTTAGTCCTCAGTATTTCTATATCAGAAAAATGGCCTCACCATCCATCTAGCTAATAAGCCAAAAGCTTAGGATTTTTTCTTGATAAATTCCTCCCACTTCTCATCATCCCACATCCAATCTGTCTTCAAGACCTGGAGATTTTATTTGCCAAATATCTTTGTATCCATTCACTTCTTTCATCCCTTCATCCCCCACTGAATCTTAGGTCTCATCCTTCTGTTGTTACCTCCTAAGAAGTCTCCCTGCATCTAGTCTCCACTCCATACTGTAGGCAGAATGCTAAAAAAAAAAAAAAAAGGCCAAATTCGATCATGCCATTCACATATTTAAATTCCTGAATGGCTCTTTCCATTACACTTTGGATAATAACTACAATTCTTAATATTTCCTATAAAGCACCACATGGTTTGACCTCTGCTTCAGTTACATGGGGGGCTTAAGTCGGTGCCTTGTACTTCCCATCTGAGGAAGGGTGAGGGTATTTGCACTTACCATCCCCTCTATCTAGGAAGCTTCATCCCCTGCCCTCAGCACCACCACCATCCCCTGCTGTTTCCCAGCATCCCCATTTCCATAGGCAGGTTAGTCCCTCAGGGAGACTTTCCTTAGCTGCTGCCATTCTCTCCCCACATCTTGGCTCATATGCCCTGTTAGTTTCACAGCACTCCGGATTTTCCACTTGGGGCACATAACCACCATCTGTAAATCTGTGATTATCCTAGTGCTAGCTGTCTCCCTGTAGGCTATGCAAGGTCCCGTACCTTGTCTGTCTGGCTTTGTATTAGAGCCCAGCACTTAGCACTCTAGCACACTGCTGGATAGATAAACTGCGGATATACAAAACATATGTTTAGAATGACTGCAGGGAGAGAATCTGGAAGCTGGGAAACCAGTTAAAAGGTGTGATAGTCCAAGTGAGAAATTAGAGAAATTTCATTTACAGTGAAACTTTAAGGAGATAGAAACATTAGGTTTCTTTGGATATAAACAACACAACGGAGACACAGGCTCACACACACACAAAAGGAATTCACTGGGAAGACAGAGAAGTTCAGATTATAAAAGGACTGTCTAACCAGCTCTCAGAACAAGAGAACTCAGGGCAGCTCTGTAGTAGACCAAAGCTAACGGAGGGTGTTTTTGTTTTTTAAGAACACCCTTGGAATAAACTTAATCATTTCCAAACCTTAAGTCATTTCTTAAGTATCCAGTTCCTGGGCCACCTGGTGGTTGGTGGTTAAGATGGCTGGATCCCACGTGGCTGACTACAGTTTCAGTCCTGGACCTGGTAGCTGAAAAAACACACCAGGTGTATGTTTGCCCAAAACCCCAAAAGGAGTGAGAAATGGAGAAGGGATTGTGGCATGACTGTCCTCCATGTGGGGTGTTGTCTCTCTCTCTTTGGCAAGTGCACACATCCTCTGGCAAACTTAACAAAAACAAAAATTCAGATCCTGAGAGAGAGGGTCTGGTGTACTGGTCTCCTAGCTGACCCAACAAGTCTACATTCCCAGGGTAGGTCTTTTTCCAAAGGAAAAGGAGAGTGTTGTTGATAAAATAAGGGGAAAGAAATCATGGCTGACCAACCATAGACGCCCACCTCACGAGCATCAATAGAGAGGGGTTTGAAGAGGAGCTTCGTAGCCAGTGTGGTGGATGGTGATGCCATTTATGAAGTTAGGGCGTTCACGTTAGGGAAGAGGGGCATGTTCTAGGGGAGGATGAGCTTTTGTCTTCTAAGTAGTGAACCTGCAGTGTGACTCCAAACCCCAGGATTTAGAAATCTGAATGTGATCAGAGAGACACCCAGGGCCAGAATGTGACAGCTGAAGAAGAGGGTATCGAGTGAAGGAAGAAAAGAGCCGCGGAGTAGAATGCTAGGAAGCAGTAAAAATGAAGGGGCAGAGAAGGGAGCGAAGTTAGGCAGCTGAGTGACACACTTCGTGAGGCACATTGGTCTGCTGAGAAATTTTATGTTCTTCATTTTTAGAAAAAAAGTTTCTTTCCCCAGCCTTTCCTCAGGAATGTTGTTTGTGATTTGCAGTCAACTCTAACCTTTACCTCCAGGCAGGAGCTAACAAGCTTTTCATGTATTTCGGAGCTAAAAGAAGTTGCCAAGTAGGGGAGATATTTCCGTAAAGCCTGCACCCAAACAGGTAATTAAAATAGGTCTGTCGGGACCAGCAGTTGGCATAATGGCTATGTTGCCAGGCTCCCATGTAGTGGACCGTGGTTCAAGTCCCAGACCCGGTGGCTTAAACTCACCGGGCACATGTGCGTGCGTGCCCAAGATACTGAGAGGAGAATGGAGGAGAAGGGATTGCGGCATGGCCACTCCCGGGGGGGTGGGGGGGTGATTTCTGACTTTCTGTCTCTCTGTCTCTCCTTCTTTCTGGTGAGTGCATGCTCCCTATAGCAAAAAACCTCTAAAAGAAAAAAAGAGAAAGAAAGAAAAAGGTCTGTCAAAAAAGTGTTTTTTGTTTGTTTGTTTGTTTTTTGGTCAGAGAGCACAATGCACTGTAGGGAGACAGAAAGAGAGAGAGGGAATCCTCTATGGGGTGTGGCCACACCACAATCCCTTTCATTTCTCCATCCTGTTAGGATTGTGGACATGCATGCCTACACAATCAACATGTTCTTCAAGCCACTGGAGCTGTAATTTGAACTGTGGTCAGCCGTGTGGGATCCAGCTCCCAGCGCACAGGGCTTCTCCACTGCATTATAGTGCCAGCGCAGCAAAGTATTACTACTCCAGTGCAGCCCTCCTAGCAGCATTAGCATCATCTGCTGCCTAGTAGAAATGCTAACCCCATGCCTCATGAATGAGAATCTGCACTTTAAGGCCCCCAGGTGATTCATACACACCGGAAGAACATTTCCCTAAGGAGGAACAGTATGGAAATTGTGAGTTCTGAGAGTTGATGAGAAGAGTGACCCAACTCTTGTGACATCTGGAAGACTTGGAGCAAAGAGGATTGCGAGTTCGTGATGAAGGGGTGATGGATGTGGGCCTGGTAGGTACTAAATGGGGACTGGTTACCAAGCTAGTATTTTTGGCAGCTTCACTGAGTGGCTCTGTGAGTGAGCTCTGGACCAAGGGAGGGAAGGTTCCTGCTCTAAGGAGCAGGCCACCATGGACTGCGTAAACCCATTAGACCTGACAATTAGGTCAAGCACAGTTTCTAATGAGTAATGAGGTAGAAACCAGACTGTGATAGTTGAATAGTAAGTAGAAGATGAAAACATGAGGAATTTAGAACCTTGGTCACCAATGCAAGGAGTTAGGGGTGACAGTAAGCTAAAGAGGGAAAGGGGGACAAGGGATGTTTAGTTTATGAACACATTTAAATACTTCTCCTAAATACTTAGGAGAAGGAACCAGTTAGGGAAAGGAGGTTGAAGGTCCTTGAAAGTGGTTAATGGATGAGGCAAGATACACATCCAGGGATGGATGTGACCAACAGTCTGAAGTAGACTCTACAGGTTTTGGTGACTAATTAGGCAGGTGGAGGTGACAGGAAGAGCTGATTCTCTAGTTTGTTTTTTAATTGCCAGAGGGCACATACATGTACTACTCATCAGAGAGAGAGACAGAGACAGAGGTGGGCGAAAAGCATCTGCCAATGGGGTGTGGTCATTCCACAATCTCTTCTCCATCTCTCCATCTTGTTGGGATTTTGGGCATGCACACACATGTGCCCAAATATGTTTTACAAGCCACTGGGGCCAGGATTTGAACTGTAGTTGGTCATGTGCATCCAACTCCCTTAACCACTGGGCCACAGTCCAGCCTTCCCTAGTGTTTTTGATTTCAGTGGAGACAGAGTAAAGTGCTATTGCTAGGGATTGGTTCTGGTTTCTATTAGGATTTAGAAAAATGTAGGTAATATATATGTATTAATGTTTGAGAAATATAACATTTTTATTAAAAACTTGTAAATTGTAGAACAAGTTCTGGCCACCCTATCTTAGAAGTGGAGGAAGTGTAGTAGGAGAATACTGGACGTGGAGTCTCAAATTCACAGGCTCCGATATGATCTCGGGAGAGCTAGTAACATGTCTGACCTGCATCTCTCTCACATGTATAGATGGGTTAGAAAAGGGCATGCCATGGATGGGCAGAGGGATGGTCTGCCCTGGTGCAGGTGATAAGGAAGTGTACTGTTTGCAGAGAATTTTAAAACAATGATACAACTAACTAAAAATCAGTCTGCTTTTTTTTTTTTTTTTTTTTAAGAAAAATGTTTGCTATAGGGTACATGTGCTTGCTGGCAAAATAGAAAGTGAAAAATCAACCCCCATGGGGGTGGCCATGTAGTAATCCTTTCTCCTCCATTCTCCTCTCAGGATTTGGGGTATGCATGCACCTGGCCTCTGGGTCTGGTACCACTGTCAGCCAAGAGGGAGTCCAACAATATAACTATTATGCCATCTGCTGGTCCCAGTCTGCTTTTTCATTAACAGCAAGTGCTGGCAATTCTAAACAACGGTAGAGGTAAAAACAGTCCTTGTCCTGGTAGCCATGAAATAATAATGTATATTTCATACTGTACTTCATTAGAGGATCTATATATGGTACATTATAGAATGCTATAGCATAGAAGTTTTAAATTAATTTTTAGAATTAATGTAACTTGAAATATTTGAAGAGAAAATAGTGGTTCTATTATTTTGGGATTCTTTTGTTGTTGTTACAGGGTATATGTGCTCACTGGAGAGAGTGAGAGAGAAATCGACCCCTCATCCCACCTCAGGGAGGATGGCTATGCCACAATCCTGTCTCCAATCCCCTCTTGGGATTTTTGACATGCACACACATGTGCCTGGCATATTTTTCCAAGCTGGTAGGTCCAGGATTCAAACCATTCACTTGACCATGTGGGATACAGCACTTTAACCACTATGCCACCTCGCTGGCCAGTAGTTCCATTTTTCATTTTTAAAAAAGGATACCAAATAATATATAGAAAATTACTTGGTTATACTGAGTTAGTGATTGTGTCATGTTTTTTGGAGATAAGTGATTACCAAAGAATTTTATATAGAATGAATAAAAAGATCCTAAATGTTTTGGAGTAGTAGGGAGATAAAAAAGCATGACCTTCACAGTTTCCTGTTGCTTTCATAATTAAATCATAGACCTAGTAGCTGGGTCTATGAAAGTTTTCTGGTGACGAAGCCAGTAACAATGAATTATTTACTTCAGTTTCCATATACTTAGAAATAAAATAGTATTACCTACTTCCCCATAGAACCTACTGAATTCTGTGAGCACATCCCTTGTTAAAAGAGAAAATATTTTAATGCTTCAGTTTGTGACATAGAATGATCAACTATTGGGTTGTTGGGAAAGTCATGATGCATTTTTGCATAGAAAACTAGAAACATATGTGATGACTCTCCTGATGACCTAATTTTATTTATTTAGAGATATTTTTGCTAGAGGGCGTGTGTGCCTGCAGGAGAGACGGAGAGAGATAGAAAGTAAGAATCCCCCACCCCCCGCCCCCTAGGAGAGATGGCCATGCTGCAATCCCCTCTCCTCCATTCTCCTCTTGGGATCTTGGGCATCCACACATACGTGCCTGGTGTGAGATTTAAGCCACCAGGTTCAGGACTTGAACCATGACCAGCCATGTGAGAGTCTAGCAATGCAACTGCTATGACATCTGCTGGTCCCCCTAGTATTATTTTTAAGAGACTCACAAATAAGTACAACCTGGAGAATATGCTAATATTGAAAGTTCCTTTCCTGTTTCAAATCAACCCAGCATGCAGTTGATAAAGAGACTCACTGTAATGATTCATCGGTTACTTTCTACCATGTACCTGTATTTCAACAATGCAATAAACAACACCTTTTCTAAAAGTCTTAAAGATATAGCATAAGCCTGACTACCAGTCGGTTCCTAGCATCAGGTTATGATACTCAGCACGTGTGGCTTTGCAGCACTGAGAACCTTCCAGTAGCTTTAACCACACTTAGTCAAAGAAGCTGACTCCATACTGATCCTTCCCAGGCTGTTTATACTAAGTGATGAATACCTTCCAATAATCCATCTCCTTCACAATCTGCTTTTAGCGAGGGCATTATATTATTCAAAAACTGGAAGACTAAAATAATGGACTTGTAAAGTTTATTGATGAAAGGGTTACAATTTCAGATATTATTCAAAGAGTTTTTAAAGTGAAATATTATAATAACTTCCAGGGAATATTTTTAAAAGTGAACATTTTAACTAAGATTTTAATTTTACCTGATATGTTAATAACTAGAGGAAGACTCTGAATTTTTGGCATTTTGCACGCTACACATAGTTATATTTATGCCAATGGACATTTGCAAACATAAGGTATAATGACTTTATATTTGGCTACACTGTACTATTTCAGAGAGAAAATAATTTGGACATTGGTTTCACATAATTTAAAGAAAACATTACTTTCAAATGATGATTACTTTAGAAAGAAAGCCCATAAAAGTCATGGGAGAAGTCACTTGAGAAGAAAGCCATCCCTCAAGGGGTCGTCATCTTCCACGGTAAAGCTTGCTGTTCCAGTGTAATGGGCTTGTCCCGATACTTCCACTATAACAGCTTTAAAGTCACCGCATTTTGCTTCCTGGAAAAAAAAAAAAAGAAGAAGGCAAAGGGAGCATACTATCAAATATTGTACTCACATGATCTCTGGTCTGAAAAGTGGACTGTTGATTTATATCATGTTTAAGAAAATCCAAGGGTTAACCCTATGGGCAATGGAAGGTTAGGGGAGTGACAGGGCTGGACTTGGTTTCAGGTAAGTGTAGTCGTGATGTGGAAGACAAACTGGAGAGGAGAGAGACGAGAGACACAAGAACCTGTTAAGGGACACCTTAGTTCACTGACTGAATCCAGTACTGGGGTAGACTGCAGTGACGATGGAGGAGGAGAACGTAATGTAGAGAGACTTGGCAGGGAGACTTGACAGGCCTGTTGACTCTATGTGGGAAATGAGGAGCTATGGACAAGTTAAATATTCTCTTGCTTGGAAATGATGCCCATGATGCCATTTCCCAAGTTGGAGAATGAGAGAGGAAGAGCATATTTTAGAAAGGAAGAAGTTATTAACAAGTTGAGTTTGAGATATCCCTGGGGCAATCATTTAAAGATCAGTGTAGTGAACAGTTGGGAATAAGAGTGTTAGACTCAGGGCCAGCAGGTGGAGTGGTGGTTAGGGCTCTGGATTCCCACATGGCTGACTGTGGTTCGAGTGACCCGGTGGCTTGCTTTCTCACTTTCCTGCTCTTTCTCTGTCTGTCTCTCTCTGATCAAATTTAAATAATAATAACAAATAATATTAAATAATTCCTTTTTTTAAAAAAAAAGAACATTAAATTCAAGAAAAGGTATCTGGTAGGCATGGTAGGGATAAAGGCTTGGCAGTCATCAGCAGCAAATGATTGGAAATTGAAGCCTAGAAAGTGGATTAAATTGCCCAGCGACATCAAATTGTTGTAGATGAGATGAGAAGGAAGCTGAGGATGAGACCACTGGGGACACCAAATGGAAGGACAGAGAAAGGAAGCTGAGGCAGGAAAGAGGCTGAGAAGGTTTCATCTGAGAGCCTGGGGGAGGCCAGAGAAGCAGTGTGGTGCAAGTGAAGACAGTCAGGCATGATTAGCAACTACGAGATAGCTTCAAATCTTAACTGCAGAATATCTTTCTACTTTCTAACTTTTTAAATAAGAATAACTGAAGCTAAAGGTAACATGTCAAGTAGTAAATTAGGATACAGTACTTTAGCGTTTATAAACATGCTATTGTGTAAGGCCTCATTGAATTTTTCCTTCACTTGAAGGTCTCTCCTTATAATGTGCTGCTTATCTCCATAGAGACCACCTTCACAGCCTGGCTCCACTATTCACTAACTAATCTCCGGAAAATTACCTGATGTCTCTACTTCTCCATTTTATCACCTTTTAAAAAAGTATAACAACAGTACCAATCTCATAAGATTCTTGTGAGGATTAAATGACATGGTATGTATAAAATGTTTATCTTAGAAATGGACATGCAGTAAAGTACCTAATAGACATTATGGATTATTATTTTTATCTTTGATCTTAGATTTTTTTTTTATTTAACTTTATTTAGTGGTTTATTTATTTATTTTTATTTCACCAGAGAGGGACAGAAAGAGAGAGAGAGAGAGAGAGAGAGAGAGAGAGAGAGAGAGAGAGAGAGAGAGAGAGAGAGAGAGAGAGAGAGAGAGAGAGAGAGAGAGAGAGGAAGCAAGTCACCAGGTCTGGGACTTGAACCACGGTCAGCCATGTGGGAGTCTAGCGTCCTCAACCACCACATCACCTGCCAGCCCTCTTTGATCTCAGATTCTGAAGACAGTATGTTCCAAACTTTTACACACAACATAAATGGTTTGGTACATCATAAAATCACTGTATGATATAGGAATCCATAACCTAAAGAAAATTCAATATTCAAAGAAAACAAACTTTAAAAATCGCTATACTGAGCCAGCCCCATGGCCTGCTGGTTAAGAGAGCCTGATCTCACATGGCCAAAGGCTAAATATAAATCTCAGACCTGGATGCTTGAAAATACCCAGGGCACTTTGCATGCATACCCCAAACCCTGAGGGAAGAGAGAAAGGGAGGAGAAAGGATTGCGAAGTGACCATGCCAGTTGGGAAGTGCTCTCTCTCTGTTTCTTTCTGTGTCTCTGGCAAGTGCATGTGCCTTAGGCAAATTGAAAAAAACCCCACTGCTATGTTAAGATAGTTTGCTATGTTAAAGAGCTATTGGGACCAGCAGTTGGCATAATGGCTGTGTCGCTGGACTCCCATGTAGTCGACCGTGGTTCGAGTCCCAGACCCAGTGGCTTAAACTCACGCCGGGAGCGTGTGTATGTGTACCCAAGATCCCAAGAGGAGAATGGAGGAGAAGGGATTGCGGTGTAGCCATCCTCCCTAGGGGGCGATTTCTCACTTTCTGTCTCTCTGTCTCTGTCTGTCTTTCTGGCAAGCACATGCGCCCTATAACAAAAAACCTCTCCAAAAAAGAAAAAAAAAGAAAGAGCTATTTATAATAGCTTTATCAAATGTAGATGAATCATTCTGTAGATTTCTTTTAGTATTATGCATAGACTCGTTATCTGTTGGCATATTTAATATTTTATTCCATTACAAAAATTCTACTCCCCATAACTGCTCAGGATTTTTACAATCTACTCTATAAAATAAACATTCCTGCAGAATAAAAAAAAAAAAATCTGGCATGGTGGTTAAGGTGCTGGACTCCCACATGGGTGACCATGGTTCGAGTCCTAGACCTGGTGGTTTGCTTTCTCACTTTCCCCTTCTCTCACTATCTCTCTCTCTATCTCTTTGGTCAAATTTAAAAATAACAATAAATAATAATAACAAATAAAATTAAATAAAGAAATAACTTTTAAAAAGTATAAAAAAAGAAATCCATATCTGGGACCAGCAGACAGTATAATGCTTATGTCGCTGGACTCCCATGTACCTGATAGCAGTTCAAGTCCTGTACTCGGTGGCTTGGAACTCACGCTGGGCTCATGTGCATGCATGCTCAAAATCCCAAGAAGAGAATGGAAGAGAAGGGTTTGGGGCATAGCCATCCCCCTGAAGGGTGATTTTTTGCTTTCTGTCTCTCTGTATCTCTTTGTCTCTGCAGTGAATGCACATACCCTATAGCAAAAATCTCTCTACAGAACAAAACGAAACACTCAAATTTTAATTTAATGGTTTTTCAAAACATTTGGTCTCAGCACTCCTTTATGCCTTAATATTTGAGAACCCCAAACAGTGTTTGTTTATATAAGTTACATTGATCAATGTTCATTGTACTGGGAATTAAAGATATTTGCTCATTACTTCATTTAAAAATAATAAATTAATAATTACACATTAATATATGAACTTGTATTTTGTGAAAATAGCTATTAATATACTTACCATAACAAAACTTCAATAAATAAAGTGGCATTATTTTACATTTTTGTAAACCTCTTTATTTCTATCTTAACAGAATACATATAGATTCTCTCACTTGTTTCTTCATTCAATTAGCAGAGAAATCACCCATCATGTAGCTTCTGCAGAGAAGTATATAATATCCTAAGTATTATTATGAACATAGTTTTGACCTTGTGACCCATGGAAAGGAACTTGGGGACCCCCAGAGGTCCCAAGACTGGATTTTGAGAATCTATATTCTAGGTAAGCAGAAGTTTTTATAGGCTTACTTTAAAATTTTCTTCTAAGAACTGAGTAAAGAAACTTATCTAGCATCCATCTTGGGCTACTTTGGTCTCCTAAGAAACACATTTACAACTAAGAAGCCAAGGGTGTCACTCACCCTCACAGCAGTCCCTGTGAACACTGAGCCAGTCGCACTGCTTTTAAAGGCTCTGGTCTGGTTCAGTTCTAGAAGGCCTTTGTGATACTGTAGAGCAATCCGGGCTGTTACTCCTGAGCCAGTGGGGCTTCTGTCAACCTGTTTCAGAATAAATGAGAAGAAGAATGTTCATAGTGTTATGTTTGCATATTACCTGGCTTTCATGACTAGAAATGATAGTTCTAATACCTGTTTATCAGCAAACACACAGATGTTGGTAGTTGGTTCCTTGCTATAAGCATCTTTTCCATCTGTTACTATAGTTCCATATAGAAAGGCAAGGTCTTCACTATCAGGATGATTAATTTTAAACTGCAAAAACAAAATAAAACAAAAACATAAAAATCCTTAACCCAGGGGCTGGCAAGTGGCATGGTGGTTAAGGGCGCTGAACTCTCACATGGCCGACCATGGTTCAAGTCTTGGACCTGGTGGCTTGCTTTCTCACTTCTCTCTCTGTCTCTCTCTGATCAAACTGGAAAATAACAATGATAATAATAATAAACAAAGTTAAATAAAATAATTCTAAAAAAAAATCCTCAACCCACATGTAAAATAAACTTTCTGATTCAATTTTATCTTTATAAATAATGTAGATGAGAGCACATAACTTTTCAATCTTTATCATTTATGAACTTTTTTTGGACAAGGAATGGTAGAAATTATGTCTTTGTCTAGATGAACAGTTTTATTGAACAAACAGTATTCTTATCATACTTTGAGAGCCCCTTCTAAGGAAGTTGACCTGTATATGGCCTCTACTAAATGTATAGTCCAATTTTATACACACATCCTCCAAACACACACACACACACACACACAGAGTCTTTGAAATGCTGACCCCAGGACAGCCAATCCAGGGCGTGGCCGTGGCCACTCAGATAGGATGAGCTCAGGCCACCATATTCTCATTCTCAGCAGCTCGAAGGGGATGGTGTGGAAAAACCAGGCAATGAATTTACCAGTGAAAGAGACAAGGACTGTGGGAAACCATGAGCAAGCAAATGTCATAAGAATAGGCAAGAGAAACAACTGAATGAAAAAAGCGTTTACTGTAGAGGATGGAATCAGGGGGTCCCACGAAAAGCGGGAGATACACACGCACAGTAGCAGGTACAGACGGTGTAGCTAAGCAGGCCCCAAAGTCAATCCTTCCTGTTCTTCTTGGGAAGACCAGTTGCTTAGCTTTTCCTGGATTTCTGTCATCTCTGCCAGTATGACTGGGATAACTATGACCTTCCTTACTTCCTCATGTATCTTTACAATGAGTACTTTCCACTCCCACCTGGCTGTTGGGTAAAGCAAGTGAACAGATTTGCGTTCTTAAATGCAGAGAGTCCATCTAAAACCAAACCAAAAAGACCTGCAGTGGGTCTGTCTTCTCTGTCTTCCTAAGCACCTATCCCCAACTCCTACTACACACATACCCAGTGTATTCGGGGAGGTCTCTGGACACAAACTGAAATCTTTCCACCGTGGGTAGCAGAACATCATGCTTTACTGCTGTGTCATGATCCAGCCTCCCAAACTGGCTTATCAGAATAGTTTTCCCGGTCCCAATCTAGAGTTACTTGAGCAGTTCTTTGAGTAACTTCTTAGCAATACGAGAAATAATGTACTTATTAAAATTGATGTTTTCTGTGAAATAAGAGAAAGTTTGATCAGACTTAATGAAATCTATTTTGTAACTTACACATACATGCGTTATTTTCAAGTTTTGCATAGTGAGCACACAGAGCAAAGTCTATGCGCTTGAATTAGTAGAATTTTATATTATAAACTTATATGTTTAAGTAACCACAAACTATATTAGTACATATGTATTTTTGAAGTTAGTAATAGTTATCATTTATTGAACATTTATTAGAGGCAGTGAAATAGGTTAGGCAAAGAAATGAGTTAGATAAACAAGAACAAGTGCATCTTTCTATTTTTAACTTAATGACGTTTGCACAGTTATATAACATGCTTTTCCCAAGAATTATAAGTCCTTTACATGCATTGATTTTATTCTTAATGACAACTTTACAAAGCAGGTATTTTGTTTTTTTGTTTTTTCTTTTTTTAGAGATTTTTTACTACAGGGCACATGTGCCCACTGGAGAGACAGAAAGTGAGAAATCACCTCCCCCTCCCCCCCCAGGGAGATGGCCGCACCACAATCCCTTTCCCTCCATTCTCCTCTCAGGATTTTGGGCACACACACACACACACCCAGAATGTTTTAAGCTACCAAGTCTGGGACTCAAACTATAGTAGACTACGTGAGAGTCCAGCAACATAACCATTATACCATCTGCTGGTCCCCAAAGCAGGTATTTTATAATTCCATTTTATAGATAGGAAAACTGAGGCACACGGAAGTCATGTAACTTGTTCAAGTTTACGAAAATTAAAAGAGGCGAGCTAAAACTCACAGGTAGTCTTGCTCTAGAGCCTAAGATTTTAACTATATCCTATTCTTAGTACTACCAATAATTTAGACATATTGATATTTAATTTTCCTTATAGAAATGATCATTTATATTTCGCTAGGCCATGGGGGGGGGCATGTGTTACAAAAGTAGCAACTGTCCTGACCTGAGCTTTCACTGCCTCTGTCACTGCACTTGCTGCATCCACGAGGTCTCTTGTCTTTGAAGAACAAACGTCAAGTCCTAACTTTTCAGCACTGACAAATGCATAAAAGGCACCGCCATATGCGATATCCACCACCACCTGCCCGTGTCCAGGGACCGCCACCATGAGATCTAAAAGAGATAAGTTTGAAAACGAATTTTTGTTAGAACTTTTACAACAAAATCTACAGCATTTTTAACATACTATTTCAAGGGAGAGAGTCCTTTTTCTGTCCTAGAAAGAAACAAAAATCCTGAGTTAGATAAATAGGAGCAAGGCGCATCTTTCTATTTTTAACTTAATGATGTTTGCACAAGTTATGTAACATGTTTTTCCCAAATCATACATACAGACTCGTTAGCTACTCTGAGACTCATTTTTAGGAAACATCGTAAAGGGCAAGGGAAGGAATGACCTGAGACAGCAGCTGGTGAACACCATGATAGAAAACGTAGGTCTCTGTTTCTGCTACTAGAGATGGTTTAAAGTAGAAAGGATTCAGGGTCCTACCAATTGGATTTCTTCAGTCATAATGTCAAAATAAACCTTTAAAAGGAGAGGCAGGGGACAGCAGGTGGTATGGTGGATAAGGCACTGGACTCTGACGTGGCTGATCATGGTTCGAGTCCTGGACCTGGCAGCTTGCTTTCTCACTTTCTCTCTCTCTCCCTCTGGTGAGCATACATGCCCTGTAGCAAATTTAAAATAATAATAATAATGATAAATAAATTTAAATAAATAATTATTTTAAAAAGATTTTTCTACATAGTTTAATTTCATTATCATTCAGGTAAACATTCAGGATAAAGCCATTGTAGAGTCACTGACTTCTATAGCATCATTTAGCATCTGAGTTTTTATTTGAGCATTTTAAATCCCCAACAAGTTCTGGGCCAGGAGGTGGTCTGGTGGTTAAGGTGCTGGATCCCAGATGGCCAACTGCAGAGCACAAGTCCTGGACCCAGCATTGTGAAAAACATGCCGAGTGTGTATATGTGTATGCCCAAAAAAATCTTGAGAATGGAGGAGAAGGGTTTGCAGTGTGGCCCTCTCCCCTGGGGAATTTCTCACTTTCTCTTTCTCTCTCTCTTTCTTTGTTTGGTGAGCATATGCATCCTATGGCAAAAATTTTAAAACAACTCCTAATACTGTAAATTTCACAAGAAGTTCAGTTTAAAATCCTGAATCCATAAAGCAATGGGGCTGGGTGATATTTGGGACATGGAAATTGTTTTGTTTTGTTTTATTTTTGAAAGGTTTTTGCTATAGGGCACATGCGCTCACCAGAAAGACAGAGACAGACACAGAAAGAGAGAAATAACCCCCCGGGGGGATGGTCACACTGCAATCCCTTCTCCTCCTCTCCTCTTCGGATTTTGGGCACACACACGTGCCCGGCATGAGTTTAAGCCACCAGATCCGGGACTTGAACGGTGGTTGACTACACGGGAGTCCAGTGACGTAGCCATTACGCCAACTGCTGGTCCCAGAAACTGTTTTTTGTCCCTCCCCACATTTTCCTCTCTTCCTCCTGCCAAGTTCAAGTTGGCTTGGTGACCACCATCTCTGGGGGAGGTGTATGGCAGGGAGAAGGCAGGTCTTTCTGTTTTTGACTTACGGAAATATGTTCTCAGGAGGAGAGACTTTTGTTAGTGTCCTGAAGCGAGAACATTTGGAGTGTCCTGAAGCGAGAAATACTTCTCTGTGTCAATAAAGTGTCATTTCCTCCAGTTGGGGTGGAGGGGGCAGAGCTCCTGAGTGCAGAGGACCTGTGTGGACTTCCCACGGCCCCTCCCACGGCCCCACGAGAAGGCCACGTAGTGGACTAGAGAGTAACACAGGAGGCAGGGAAGGAGGCCTGGGCCACGTGGAGCAGGGCCGATGATCCTTCACTGCACTCATTAACTGTGCGAGCTGAGAACCAAAGGCCCTCCTCTCCGAAGCCCTGGCACATCTAAGAAACCTTTGTGATGTGTACATTGGGGAAGGGGACAGGACATAGCAGGGTGAGGCTAAGTCAACCAACCAGACAGAGTGGGGTCTCAATGTCAGAAATCAAGGGGTACAAAAGCAAGTATTTCTGGTATTCCCGAGTTTTTACACTGAGTCACACAAGATGCCAGTGTGCTGTTGGTTACAGACTAGTCTACAGAAGCCCTTTTTATACATAATGTATCAAAACAGCTAGCCTATGATCAAGAGGAAAACATCCCTGTGAATCTTTTTCTTTTCTTTTTTTTTGGAGAGGTTTTTGCTATAGGGCATGTGTGCTCGCCAGACAGAGAGAGACATAGAGACAGAAAGCGAGAAATCACCCCCCAGGGGGGATGGTCGCACCGCAATCCCTTCTCCTCCATTCTCCTCTTGGGATCTTGGGCACGCACACACACGCGCCCGGCGTGAGTTCTAAGCCACCGGGTCTGGGACGCGAACCACGGTCGACTACGTGGGAATCCAGCGACATAGCCATTACGCTAACTGCTGGTTCCCTCAAGTTGAGTTTTTAGGTAGGGTGCTACTTACTAAGTTTTAGTTTCCTCTTCTTTTTAAAAAAGAATTGTTTAACTTCATTTATTTATTTATTTTCATTTAACCAGAGAAACAGAGTGAGTGAGCAAGAGAGAGAGAGAGAGAGAAAGTGAGAAAGTGAGCTGCCGGGTCTGGGACTCAAACTGTGGTTGGCCATATGGGAGTCCAGCACCCTTAATCACTATGCCACTTGCTGGCCCCAAATTTCCTCTTCTTTAAAATGAACCAGATGTCCTTTAAAGTCACTTCCATTTATTATCAGTGATTTTTTTTTTGATCACTAAATTACTAACATTGAAAATTAGGGTATTTGTTTGATACAAGCATATTCTATGTGATAGACTAGGTCCTCTAAGGAAGGCTCAAAGTCAAACGATGACAGAATGATTCGAATGGCTTGAAAACGTGGACGAAAAGGAGTGACAACTCTATTCCTGCAGTAACTGGGTTAGTTTCCAGCTCTCTTCCAGTCATGATACAAAAGCCTCCCCACTGATCGAATTCAGCCTGCTGGAAGTAGTACTCAGGTGAGGCCAGGTACCAGGTCACCTCCATGAAGGATCTTGCTCTTTGTAAGAGTTATGGTTATAGAGATGCCCTATTTTACATGATATAAAAGATCTGTACTAAGGAACCCAGCAAAAACCTTTAAATTGATCCCTAAAGACTAACTGGGAATCCTATATATCTGTACTTTTTTTTGTCCTGAGGAATATATTTTAAAAATTCTAAATAAGAAGGCCAGCAGATGGCATAGCGGTTATATTGCTGAACTCCCACATGAGACCTTGGTTCAAGTCCTGGACCCAGACGGCTTGAAAATCATGCTGGACAAGTTTGTGGCATGCCCAAGATGCTAGGAGGAGAATTAAGAAGGGATTGTGACATGGCCATCCCCCCTGTGGGTTGATTTCTCACTTTCCTGCTCACTGTCTTGGTCTCTCTGTCTCTCTGGTAAGTGTGCATGCCCTGTGGCAAAAACCTCTTAAAAAATCTAATTATCTTGTATATTCTCATTTAATCCTAACAAAAACTCTACAAATGAAACAGAGAGAGAGATTAAACACTAATTACTTGCCTAGGGGCCAGGAGGTGCTGTGGTGGTTAAGGTATTGGACTCCCACAAGGCTGGCCACAGCTCAAGTCCTAGAATTGGTGGCTTGCTTTCCCTTTTTCTCTCTGGTAAGCTCATGTACCCTTTAGCACATTAGAAAAACAAATCGATAATAATAAAATTAAATAACTAAAAAATTGCCTACACTTGCACAATGTCTGTTCCAGTTCCTACAGAAGAAAAGCAACTACGTCCATCTCTTTATGATTGCTTAGTTCATGAATTCTCATTTAATTCTTCAAAGAAGTAGAGACAGCATGTTTTATAGATAAGGAAAATGAGGCATGTTGAGTAATTTGTTAGGGGTAATGTGACTACCAGGCATATCCTGAGCCAATTCTGACCTGAGTGTACTTTGCTTTATCCAAAGGTGAAATCTCTGGGAATGCTGAGAAGTGTGGAACCAAACACTGAGTAAGGGAAACTTGCAATTCTTTACTCAAGGCTCTCCCAAGAACACAGTTGGAGAGATCAGCAGGACAATCGAATCACATGCACTAAATTCGCAAGGCAGTGATCAAACATTTGCAAAGATCTAAAATTACCTTTTTATTAATTGCAAGGGCATGCAGGGTTGGTTAGTTGGCGCCATGTGGATTCCAGCTCAGACAGACAGTTAAAGTACTATAGTTAGTTGCGTTCTGGGTTGCTGCCCGCCCGGGCCTGAGTGTGTCCCACCAGTTACCTGTGGCCAGCACGAAGGCAGGGACGCTGTGGAAGCGCACCGGGCCGCAGCTGCGGCCGCCTTCACAAGTCACAAAGGCAGTCACCAGCCCGCAGGGGCAGTGAAGGTTGACTCGGGCCTCGCGGGTGCCGGCCGGGGGTGCCGGCACCAGCCCGAAGTCGACAGCGAAGCGGCCCAGCGCCAGCACTGCATGGCCGCACATGGAGCTGTAGCCCTCGTTGTGCAGGAATAGGACGCCCAAATGCGCCTCCGGCAGCTCGCTCGCCACGAGAACGGCCCCGTACATGTCTCGGTGCCCTCGGGGTTCCAACATGAGCCGTCGCCGCACATGGTCAAGGTGCTCACGCATGTAGCGCCGCTTGGCCAGCAACGTGGGCCCCGCCACCTCTGGACACCCGGCCAGCACGACGCGCAGGGGCTCGCCGCCCGTGTGCATGTCCACCACTGACAGCGGCGGCGTCCCCGGGTCGTGTGGGGGCAGCTGGGGCACGGCCAGCGTGCTCTCCATCACTTGCGTTCTGGGACAAGGCCCGTGGTGCACACTTCAAGACAGGACCTACCCGCGTACTCGGTGCCAGAAAGGCAGGACGCGACGCAGCGCTAGGGCGCGGGATCGCTGAGCCTTTACCAGGAAGTAGAGGCGGGGCTTCGCGGCGGTCGCCCCGGTTACCAAGAGGCGGAGCTGACGAACTGCAGTGGCCCGGATGTCCGGGCGTTTCGCCGGATCTCCGTCGCTGAGCTTCTCTGCAGGGAAACCTGCGAGCGCCCATGGGTGAGTGGTCGTGGGGATGGCGGGGATTACTTGTCTTAGTCCCCGCCTCTGCCCTAACTGGGCACTCCCGGATCGGTCCCGGCGGGCGGCCTGTGCTCGACCCTGCTCCTACCCGCCCTCAGATCGGGCCACATTCTCCTGCCGAGGTTGTGGTGGGTGGTCTCTGTCCCTGACAGGCAGCGGAGGGGAGGCGGGCAGCGTGGCTGGGTCTTTGTTGTTTTGTTCGAAATGTCACTTCAGCCCTTTTGTTTAATGCGAAGAAACATGCATAAAAGTTGACTTCAAAATTGCAAGCGCGACGGTAGCGCAGAGAATAGAGGAAGCAGAAGCTAATTGCTGCAAACGTGATTGTCTCCCACTTCAGCCTAAAATATGAATCTATAGGGAGGGCCCTTCACAGAGGGGCAACCCCTTTGCAAAAAAAAAAAAGTCTTAAAATTTTAGACATTGTTCACTAAAAGAGATAAATGAAAGGGGAAATCAAATGGACACTTGGAGCCATTGGTCTGTTTTGTAGGTCATGAGCTGTTGATTCAGTTACCGTGCTGGTTTTCAGAGCAGAATTTTGAGAAACTTAAATTTTTACATTCAAATGTACTTACTAAAAATCTGACGGATTAGATGTAAAAACCATACAGAACGGGACCAGCGGGTGGTGCGGTGGCTAAGGCGCTGGACGCGCCCACATGGTTGACCATGGTCTGAGTCCTGGACCTGATGGCTTTCTCTCTCTCTCTCTCTCTCTCTCTCTCTCTCTCTCTGTGTGTGTGTGTGTGTGTGTGTGTGTGGTCAAATTAAAACTAAGTGAGTAAATAAGTTAAATAAGTAACTCTTTAAAACATACAGAACAATCTTTGTTATTTAACTTCTGCCTTCTCAAAAAATCTGAAACTGTTCATTTTCATGTGTTAGTTTAGAGCATTGTGATTATAATTGGTTAAAAAATAAGTGCCAATTAAAATAAAAGAAACCCATGGGTTTAAAAAACTGAGTTAGAAATTTGATAAAAGTGAAAGGATTGAACAAGGAATTTTATTCCACGCTCTTTCTGTTTTCTTCTCAGCAGCATAAGGAGAAGAAATCAAAGGTTGTACTTAAATTAGAAAGAAAGAGAGGTATAGGTCTAGCAGTCTCTAGATTGTGAATTAAAGAAGAATTTGGGAAATGATTACTCAAGATTTGTCATAAGATGCATGATTTTCCAAATGAATTCTTGCCCAGACCTTGGTAGTTTGGGATTTATCCATATTAGACTGTAGGTTCTTACAGGACAGACTGTCACATTTACCTGTGGAATTTTAGTGGGTCTTAACCAGTGGAATCTGACACTCATCACATGTTTATCAAAGGAATTAATCAATGAATGAAGGAAATCAGGCCTTACTGGTAGAAAAACTTTCATTTCTGCCCATGAATGAGGTCAAAGACAATCTGTAGGTCCTGAGATTTTTTTCTTTCTTTCTTTCTTTTTTTTTTTTTTTTGCAAAGATGAGCTGTTTTTTATTTCTCCCAAGCCTTGAGATCAGGGGGATAATTCTAGGGCAGTAATTTCCAACTCTTGGTAAGAGACCAAGTGATAACCTTGAAGAAAGTCCCACCTGTCCTTGATAAAAATGACAGAAACTAGGGCAACAGGAAGCTTTTTATAATGGCAAATTTATTTACTCTAAAGGATTGCCCTTTATTATGAAAGTATGTCCTTTCTGCTTTTCTGTCTTTTGTTGTCAACAAAGGTGATACTGGATTACGTGTGGATGTGTGTATGCTCAATGTATTAACTGAGCAGAATAAAAGGTGATGACCTATAGGTGCTCTAATTTCTTTATCTTTTCTTTTTTTTTTTTTTTTTCTTTTGGCTCTTTGCTTTGGGTATGGGTGCTCGGTGGAAAGAGACAGAAGAGCGGGGGAAAGTGAGAACTCACTCACGGGGCCTGGGGGTGGCCACACTGCAGTACCTTCTCCATTCTCTCTGGATTTGGGGCATGCACACACTTGCACCTGGCATGTTTTTCAAGCTGCTGGGTTCAGGTTTTGAACTGCACAGTTTGCCATGTGGGATCCAGTGCGTTAACATCATGCCATCTACTGGCCTCAGGGCTCTCATTTCTTTAAAAAAAAAAAAACAAGCAAAATTTGACACTTAATTTTTTATCAATAAAACTTAATTTTTAATCAATAAAATTCAAAAGTCCAATCAAGGGGACTGGCTGGCTAGTGTCATGGAGACAGTATTGGGTTAGGCTCTGTGTTCTAGAGATAGTTCCTCCTTTGCAGGTTAAGGACTGGAATCACAAGGAACAGTATTAACAGCAAAGTTTCAGAGTAACTGTCTTCAGTATGGCAGTAAAAAAAGGAGGAATTTAAATTGAAAAATAAATGCTTTAGGAGTTTTGTCTAATATATATCATTTTGAACACTGAAAGTTGGTTGAGATATTTCTGTCAAGTGCTTCAGCTATTATTGCATTACTTTTTTATAATCACAAAAGATGTTACTATACTGGCGTTTGTTTTTAAAAAGCTGTCGATATTCAACCAGCATGCCTTGGACTATATTGTGGGAAGACCCTGTTGTTTAAAAATGGCTCAACTGAGATATATGGAGAATGTGGGGTAAGTCTTATTTTATATGATATTTCATTTATAGAGTCTATTTACTTATGAAATATTTTCACATGTAGAGTCTTTTTTCTGAAGTATGCACATTTATTTGTAAAAGAATGTAGAGGCATTAATATTGGGTTGTTGGGAAAGCCTTTAGCATTTTTTGCATCGAAAAACAGAAAATTACATCATGACTTTCCCAATGACCTAATAAAACCCTTGTTTGTGTTGCAATACTAATGTCTATAAGTAATATTAAATCTTTCTTGACAGTCATGATTATTTTTAAAAATAGTTGTAATTTTATTGGGACCAGCAGTTGGTGTAATGGCTATGTCGCTGGGCTCCCACGTAGCCAACCGTGGTTCGAGTCCCAGACCTGGTGACTTAAACTCACACCGGGCACATGTGCGTGTGTGTCCAAGATCCCGAGAGGAGAATGGAGGAGAAGGGATTGCGGCATGGCTATTCCACCTGGTGGGGGGTGATTTCTTGCTTTCTGTCGCTCTGTCTCTGTCTTTCTGGCGAGTGCACACACCCTATAGCAAAAACCTCTCCCCCCAAAAAATAGTTATAATTTTATAATAATTCCTGATTTCTTTTAAAAATGACTCAGCACAGTGACTTGTACAGTAAGTTAACATTACTACTCCAGAGCGTTTTCCTGTAATTATTATCATGGGACATCAATAACTAGGTTTTTCATAAAATGTTTGTCAACTGTCTTAGTCACTTAGTAAAAGGAATTCTTTAAGTGCGTTTTATAGATATAACATACAATGTAGATTTCTTTTTATTTGACCTATGCTTTTTTTAAATTTCTAAAAGCTACACATGTAAACTTACATGCTTAAACTGAAATGGGATGTATTATAGTATGTCTTTTTTTGCCAGGTGGTCTGAATCTTATAATATCTGCACATAAAATGCTGCTGTTTTATATTGTAGGTGTGCCCAAGAGGACAAAGAACAAATGCACAGAAATATTGTCAGCCTTGCACAGAGTCTCCAGAACTTTATGACTGGCTCTATCTTGGATTTATGGTTATTTTGCCTCTTGTTTTACATTGGTTCTTCATTGAGTGGTATTCGGGGAAAAAGAGGTTAGTTCATTCTGTGAAGGTATCCAGACAGACTGATTTGGAATATCATTTAGAATATCTTACACAGTAACTATATTTGCCTCTATTGTTTTAAAATTGGTAAATCTGCTTCTCATTTATATTCTGATTACTTTGTCCTGTGGCAAGAAAATGATAGGATTTTCTTAATAAATAGTAAGGATGTCTTAGTATTTTCTTAATAAATACTAAGAGAACTGCCCTTTGTCACTTTCACCCTAAATGATCTTGAACTGTAACCTATTGGTTTTCTACTGGTAATTGGCTATGATTATAAACTATTGTTCTAGAGCAAATACTTTGTAATTTAACTTAACACTAATAATTTAGCATAATATAATTATAATATAGTTGTAACCTACATATGAAAACTCACACTAGCACATTAAGTCAACACACATTTATTGAGCCCCATGTTTTATGTTTGGGAGATCGGGGAGGAGATGCAAAAATAGCTGACATGACTTATAGTCATAAATTTGTAGATAAGACAAATATATACATAATTGATTATAATGCAAATCAGTCTTAGTAGTGTAGCAGAGTTATAAACAGAATGCTCTGGTCATTCCTCTGGTCACAAGGAATGGAGAGAGAAATTGTGCTTGGTGGGACTGGGAAAACTTCATAAAAAGAACATTGTAGGCAGAGGCAACAGCATGTACAATGGCTCAGAGGCGTGAAATATGTCATCTGGGGTGGTCAAAGTATGAACTGCAAATGAAAGATTTACAGATTTAATATATAGAAGTGGGAAAGATAAATCGAGACCATTACGTGAAGGTTTTGATAAGGATGTGAACTTTATTCTACTAGGAACGAGGAGCCCAATTCTGTTAATACCTTAGTACATTCCAGCCATACTGATTTTCGTCTAGTTCTAACT